TGGCAATAAGAGAACACTACCCCTTTCACACTGTCTTTCACCTGAAAACTCAAAAAAGGGAGAAAAGCAGGACTGTGTCTTGGCCTGAAGGAAAAAAGGGACTACTATGCCCTAGCTGGCATAGCTCAGTGGATTGAGCGTGGGCTGCGAACCCACAAATCGCTGGTTCAATTCCCAGTCAGGGCACATGCCTGGGTTGCGGGCCAGGTCCCCAGTGGGGGCCACATGAGAAGCAACCACGCACTGATGTTTGTCTCTCTCTCTCTTTCTCCCTCCCTTCCCATCTCTAAAAATAAATAAATAAAATATTTTTAAAAAAAGGGACTACTAAATAAAACTGCTTAATCATTGTATGTTCTTATTAGTGGATTTGTTTCCCCTAAGCCTCAGACCCTGGTTTATAGATTTCCTCATTTCTCAATGAAGGCTTCAATATCTTGATTCACAATGTAACATTTCTAAGCAAAGTGAAACTTAACCATACAGCATTGTTTACAATACTCAAGATATGGAAATGACCCAAGTGCCCATCAATGGAAACGAATGACTAAGGAAGATGTTACATATATATACACGTGGAACATTACTCAGCCATAAAAAAAAAGAATGGAATCTTGCCATTTGGGACAACATGGATGGACTCTGAGAGCATTATGCAGAGCAAGATAAATACCATTCACTTATATGTGCAATCTTAAAAAACAAACAAACCAATACAAGACAAACAAAAAAGGCCAAGCTCATAGATACAGAGAACAGAATGGTGGTTTGTGAAGGGGTGGAGAGGAGCATTGGTAAAGAGAGTCAGAAAGTACAAACGTTCCGTTATAAAATAAGTTGGGGGGGGGGAGTGTAAGGTGCCGCATGGTGACTACAGTTAATAATGCTGTATTGCATCTTTGAAAGCTATGTGAGAAAATCTTAAAAGTTCTCATTATGAGAAAATACCTGTAACTACATATGAGAATATATGGTAAGTAGACTTACTCCGGTGATCAGTCTGCCGTGTGTACAAATATCAAATCATTATGTTGTACACCTGAAACTAATATAAAGTTCTATGTCAATGATGCCCCAATTAAAAAATTATAAATATTTTAAAGAGGAAATACTTAATCCTATACAGCCATTAAAATGAAGCAGGATTGCCCCCAGCGGGGTGGCTCTGTTGGTTAGACCATCGTCCCCATACGCCAAGGCTATGGGTTCGATCCCAGGTCAGGGCACATACAAGAAACAGCCAATGCAACTATAAATAAGTAAAACAACTCTCTCTACCCGCCCCCCAAAAAAATCAATAAATAAAAATTTTAAAGAAGGAAATGGAGCAGGACTGTCCGGTTCACCCGGAACACAGAGAAGGGGGACCACGTCTACAAGGAACCTCCCTCATCCTGGAACTCCTCTCCTCCCCCGAGCCCCTGAAGTCTGGCTCTTCCCCGAACACCAGATCCAGAGCTCAGAGGTGCCAGGACCCGAAGAAAGCCTTTTCCCTTCACTTCTGCTTTCCAAAGTACTCCAGGGCTCAGCCTGGCCACCGCTCCTGCCCACCGAGGGCCTGCCGAGCCCGAGTGCGCTCCCTTTGGGACCCTCTGCCGACACCACGACCTCTAACCTCGGCCCCCGCCTCAGCACCTGCCTCCTCCTCCTCCCCCTCTACACCTTCCAGACTACCCCCTCCAAGGGCTCTGGAGACGCCCCCCAGCACCTCTCCCTGCCGCAGCCCACCCAGGAGCCCAGACCACACCCCCCGCCCGCCTCCCCGCCCCTCTGCACGCCGCGCTCGCCGCTCTCCGCGTCCCTGCCCCTCTCGGCCCCTCTTCTCTGGCCTCTCAGAGTCCCACGTCCTCAGACCCGTTCAGACAGCCTCCTCTCCCTCCCCGGCCGGCAGCGACCCTGCCCCGCCTAGACGACGCCGTCCGCTCAGGACACTCGGAAGCGCCCCTTCCCCGGCTCTGCGCGTCTCCGGGTCCGCGCCCCGGTCCTCGAAGCTCCCCGCAGCCGCCCCGCCGCCGCAGCCCCTTTACCGCTGGACACGGTGGCGGACGCGAGCAGGAGCGCCAGGACCAGCGGCCGCTCCAAGCCCCCGGGGACCTGGGTGCCCGGCCTGGGCGGCAGCTTCGCTCGCACGGCCCCACTCATTCTCCTCACAGCGACAGCGGCCATAACGGACTCTGCCCGGAACCTGCGCTGTTGCTAGGCTCTACGTCGTGACGTCAGGCACTGCGTAAGGTTTCTCGGCTCTTACGTTTGGGCGTGATGACGTTGATCCTGGAGCGGGGCTCCCGGAAGGGAAATACGGAGGAAGGATGCCGGGGTGGGGCCGAGGGGGGCTGCGCAGGTCCGCTGCGGGTTAAGGATGTACCGCGCTCGGTGTGAAGAGGGTCAGAGCGAGCCCCTCCCTGCCTCCGGCACGATGGGGCACCTCGCAGCCTACAAAAGTGCCCTCAAACGTCTTTGAACGGAAGAGCTGACTATTTAATACCCCGATCCCTAAGGGACCCCTTCCCTGTGTCCTCCGGGAAACGAATGTTAACAGTGGCGATGGCCAGGTGGTGGGGTTATAAGCAAATGTTTTATTTATTTTTTATCTTTACCCATACTCTTCAGCAAATATTTAGCACTTCTCCATGTTTCGGTGTACAGCAGTGAACGAAACGAACCCCTACTTGTGTGGAGTTAGTTTACTTTCCTAGGAGGGACTCGATCGTGTGAAATGAACACTATATACAGTAGAAAGCGTGTTGTGGAGGAAAAGCCGGGAAGATGGCTAGGAAATAGAGGTGCAAAGAGCTTCCGCGTTTTCTGCAATTTCTATTACTTTTTAAATTATGTAACTTTTAAAACTCCCCGAATATGAAAATTCAAATTTAGAAACGTTCAGGGAGCTCCCCCTATTAAGGACCCGGCACAGTGCTTTGGTCTGTATGTTCTGTAAATGTTTCCTTAATAAACATCTGTAGGCTTCAAATAATAAAAGTTCCATTGGATCAATTTGCAGGAAAATGAGCACGTTCACAAAGTAAGACGTTTCCTGCGCCAACAGCTTCACCACTCTGGGCTCCCGAGCCCCTCGGAAGATTGCTGCCATCCCCCCAGACACAGCTGAGCAGCCTCTGAAGAGGCCTGTGTTCTCCTGAATCTGGTTTCCCTTAACATTCGTCTGGCCCAGGTGACAGATCTGAAACACACAAACTCCACGTTGTTAAGAAAACTGAGAAGCCATTCATCTGTTCATTCCCCTCAGCCCACCACAAGCCTAGACAGGCTGAATGGTGCCCTTATTGCAAAGTTGCCAGGGTAGCCAGGGCACCACGGGTCCCTTCCGTGAGCACAGAAACCACCACTCAGCTTAACGAATTGGCTTCTCAATTCTAGCTTCTGCTCGTTGGGAGACTCAGGTTTAAACAGACCTTTTTCTGTAATAAACACACCTTCAATCCTCTCCTTGGTCCCCAGATTGTTTCAATTCTCTTTCGGTGAGCTATCATGAACTCAAGGCATTTTACACGATATTCTGACGTGCTGTGTGCAACAAGCAGGTATTTGTACCTGGCATGTGACTGGAAGCGCCCAGTACCCAGTGTGTGCTAAAATCTCCGGACAAATTCAACAAAGTTCACTTTGAAATAGCTGCACATCATTCATTATGAACCTGATAAAGACAGTATGACAAATACTTAGGCCAGCAGGTCTAGGGTGATCAGTTACACAAAATCCTAGACATAAATCTGATACCTGTTTGGAATTGTCACTTCCAGATATCCATAAAAAGGAGTGCTGCCTAAAAATGTATCGCTGAATAGAAAAAAAAGGTTCATATTTGCTGAAACTGGGTAATGTAGATGCAGATACTATTCTACTTTGTGAATGTTTGAAATTTAATCTTCACCCAAGGACATGTTTATTGATTTTGAGAAGAGAGAAACATCCATTGGTTGTTTCCCATATGCTCCAACCTAGGATCCAACCAACAACCTAGGTATGTACCCTGAGAACCAAACCCACAACCTTTTGATGTATGAGATACTCCGACCAAGACAACCTGCCAGGCTTCACCATGTTATTTTTTTAGTTATAAATATATGGCAGAATTCTAAACCCCCCAATGATCCATGCCTTCATATGACCTCCTGTTCTTGAGTGTGGGAGGGACGTGTAAATACATCACTCCTGTGATTAGGCTGCTATATGGCACAGGTGACTTTGAGAGATCATCCTCAGTGGGCCTCACCTAATCAGGTGAGTCCTTGAAAGGGTTGGGGCAAGTTATGGGGGTATAATATACAACATGGTAACTATAATTAATGAGGCTGTGTTGTATATTTTAAATTGCCGAGAATAGATCTTAAAAGTTCTTATAAGAAAAAATTGTAACTGTATGTGGTAATAGATGTTAACTAGACTTACTGTGATTATTTTGCAATATATACAAACATTGAGTCATTATGCTGTATACCTAAAACTAAGGTAATGTGAATTACATGTCAATAAAAATAAATAACCTTTACAGGGGGGTGGGGCTATTCCTGAAGATTTTAAGTGTGAGAGGGATTTGACCTCGAGTTTTTCTGTTGTAGCTTTGAGGATGGGGGGGACTGTTTAGCAAGTGTGCAGGCAGCCTCCTTTGATGAGAGAGGCCCCTTGCTGATGGCCAGCAAGGAAACAGGGGCCACTATTCTACAACCAACAGGAACCGAATTCTGCCATGACCTTGGGAACCTGGAAGAAGACCCCAAGCTCCAGATGAGAACACAGCCTGGCTGACATCCTAATTTCCACATTGTGACACTTAACAGAGAGCCCGGCCACACTGGGCTTGGATTTCTGACCTGTGGACCTGTGAGATGAGTGTTGTTTGTAAGCCGCTAAATCTGTGGTAATTTCTTATGCAACAATAGAAACTAAAAATATCACATACACAGAGAACAAAGGGTCAAAGAAAAAGACCAAATGCCCGTTTACTTACACTTTTATTAATAAAGACAACAGAAGAAGGATGAGGTTTCAATATTTTAATTCAAGTTTTATTTTAAGTGATGTTAATTACAGCATTTGAAAGGGGTGATCTAATTCCACACAATGGAAGACTCTACCATGTACCCATTAAACTGCTAAAAAATAAACTGAGTGGTGAGGATCCAACAGAAGTCTAATTTAGGTTCCGAGTGTTATTACCATGTGATTACAGTCATAGAGACTCTTCCCAGCTCGCAGCTGGAGCTCTTAAAAGCTATTTCATACTCTGGTGCACGGGCAAAAAAAAAACCACAATGGGAGAGGGAGTAAGTCCTGAATTATTGGCTTCATCACATCCACCTTCTCCGCCCCAAAATGGCACAAAAGAAACAACTACCACACCCTGCAGACTACTTTTGGTGTAAAAGAGGTGATGGACCAGGGTGGAAACAGGTCATGAAGATCTAAGAAAGTCCCTTCAGATGAGTTTGTACACACCACCGAACAGGGAGCCTCTCTCACTTGGGGCAGGAAATCAAGGTCAATTCTCTGGAAGTCACAAGTTCATTCACTGAAGCAATACAAATTTACAAAGTGCTAACAAACCTTCGGCTTCCACTTGCAGCCACTTCTAGATGAAAAAGAAACCTGACGTCTCTAGAGGGGCTGCCAAGTCCCCCCAAGTCTACAGCTGAAAGGACCTTTTTTGGAATCAGGTTTCTTCTGTACCTCTGAAAGGGTAACACCTTAAAGCTGAATCATCTGCAAACCTGGAGGTCTAACATGATACTTAGCAATACTTGCAATCCCAGACATACAACATTAAAAGGTACACTAAATTCTGAAGGTAGCTATGCTGCAAAATAGTTTAAAATTAAACGATTGTACAGTCTTCATTTATGCTTGAAATTCCAGTCCTAGACCAAGCTTGTGGCCACCTGCGTTGACATTCTTGCCATCCAGCAGCGCGGACAGCGTCAGTTTGATACCTGCAGGGAGGGAAATGGGGGAGAGGAAAGGGGGACGTATGAAGAAAAGAGAAGAGAAGTTAACACACAGAGGAACGCTGGAGCACACCGGCAAAACCACGCCAAAACCACACCGAATCCAAAACCAGCTCCAGCCGTGTGACCAGGGGCAAAACCACAGGGCCCTTCATGCCCTGCTACTCACTGCCATCTGACTACTTCGTAGGAAGCCTAGACTGAGTTTACACAACAACCGGCGTTACTCCACCACCCACCCAAACCCACTCGAGGGACTCTTTCATCGTCTGCTGCTACCACTAATCTCTCCACCAGAGGCAGCTCGCAGTGAGCTTCTTCAGCAATAGCCCCTTGAAATGAAACTCCAGTCAGGAATGAGACACCGACGTCTTACACTCAAATTTGCGGCACGCACATGCACCCACACACCGCTGATATTCTCCCTAGAATCACTTGAATCTGACATCGTGCACTCTTAGATTTCCAGGTTCAAAGGCCCAGCTTATCCAAAGTAACCCCAAGGTGGCATCAGCTCCTGTGGCTCTAACACACCAAGGACTGGCCTGGCCGACTGTGCAGGGGAAACCTGCAAACCAGTTTCACCACAAGGGTGACTCACCGGCTGGTTTTAAGAACCTGCTGGACATTAGTTAGCAAGCATTATACACACTGGGGGAAAGAAAAGAATCAAAAATGTAACAGGTTAGCTTTGCTCTTCTTCTCTCCTACTTACTGCTTCTCCTACTCTCTGAATGTTTTATAATGACTGCACACTTTTATAAACACTTCATTATAAAACTTAATAGACACTCATTTATGATGTACTACATAGGCATTTTATAAGCAGTAACATAAAGCAGCAAACAAGAACTACAATTTTTTTAAGACAAAGAACTAGCCCTGACTGGTGTAGCTCAGTGTATTGAGTGCCGGCCTGAGAACCAAAGGGTCACTGGTTCAGTTCCCAAACAGGGCACATGCCTGGGTTGCAGGCCAGGTCCCCAGTAGGGGGATGTACAAGAGGCAACTACACATTGATGTTTCTCTCCCTCCTTCCCCAGTTTCTGTCTAAAAATAAATAAATAAAATCTTAAAAAAAAAAAAAGACAACTACTTTCACACACAGCCAGCACATACCTGGCTTTAGTGTCTGAGTATATCCAAGCCCGATCAGGCTGGAGTTGTTCACTTTAGCCTGGAAAAGGGAAACAGACAGAATGAAAATGCTTAGGACTTCACGCTTCCATCTCCAAAATAAGTAAGAGCTTTTAAATCAACCACCATTGAACTTCAGAATCAAACTCTCTTTTTTCATGACTACTTTGTTTATGGGATTCATTAAATTAACTATGAAACATATCAAATTTGGGAGACTTGTCTCTGAAGGGAAACTCAACACAATTTTCAATTAAAACAAAGTTATTATTTACATTTGATTCCTGAAGATATGAATGCCCTGTTTCATTTATACTGAGTAGGTCTGTACTCAAGTTATAACGGGGGGACGCTTTCATTTATGAGCAGAGAGAAAAGGCTTTCTTGTATGGAAGATTTCTTCAAGATTTATTTATTGGGATCAGGGAAAACAGAGCAAAAGTTAGACGGGGTTTTGAGGCTTTTTTTTTTTAAAGGCAGAGAAAACGATTAGAATTCTCTCTTCATGAAAAAAAGCCAAAATCACATTGACATGACAGTTCAGCACTGACAGGCCTGAGATTAACATGGACGTGGGAGCGAGAGAACGACCTCGCTCGTTCTCTCGAGCGAGAGAGCCAATCGCTTCCACTTCAGCACTTAGTAGTGAATGAATTAAGTTCAGGAAAGCAGCTGAGTCTGAAGTAATTTTGCCCTCATTCCTCTGCCTGAGTTGTAGGGACATCTGGGCCTCTCCCTGGCCCCTTTCTGGTGAAATGAGGCAGGGCCAGGACCAGAGGACGCTCAGGCCACAAGGACACCACGCCCCAGTGCAAATGGGGCTGCCAAGATGCATGTTTTCCGGCTCACATGCTCTTTTCAGACATGACCGCTGCCCTCAGCCAGAGCAGAGCAGGGGAAGGAAGGCCGGCGGTCAGTGCCCTGTCTAGCTGTTCCCTGTTGCTCACGGCATCCAAATGGCAAGGCCCCTTTCCCTTCAGTTTTTAAAAAGGGAGCCAAATGCAGTTTCTCTTTCAGGAGACTTCAAATGGGCTATCTGTAAATTACACAAACCAGCCCTGAACCCATCTTGCAACATGAAATTTCCTCATTCCACCCCAAAAGGGGTGCAGCCGGCAGTTCCCTGTGATGAGGGACTGAGCCTGACAGAACTTAATGCAAAAACTGTGCAGCCACCCAAGGGCCGGTGAGCAACGCGACAGGGGCTGCAAGGTAAGGGGCCAGCTGCCTGGTCCCCAGGGCCTGTGTTCTTGACGTGTGGCGTGGGGGCTGGGCAAGAGACTGATAAAGGAGGGGGATCAACACTTAGCACCTTAGCCTTCAAGGGAACCCCCTTTCCAGTCTGCAGCGGGAAGAGCAACTGCTGAGAGGCACCTCGCTGAGCCAGGCGGGGGCACATCCAGGCCCCAGCGCTGACCCAATGTCTGCCCCTCGGCGAGTTACTCAACTTCTCTAAGCTTCCAGTTCCTCATTTCTGATAACAGGGATGGGATGATTTGAAAAAGGGAAAAAAAGGCACCTTCTTCAAATGGGCTGTGTAAGAAATACAGTAATCCACGAATAATGGACTCCACACAGTGCCTGGCTCCCACAGAAAGTAGTATTACTCCTAACGATTTCCTTATTTCGACCTCTGTTCACAGTGAGAAAGTCTCTAGCCAAAGCACGGAACCCCAGCAATCCGAACTGATTCCAACCCCGGTCGTGGGGCCCGGGCAACACCCGACTCCACAGGTACCCACCGAGAAGCAGGCGTCAGGGTCGATCTGATACTTGGCTGCTATTCCGAAGCGAGTGTTACTGTTTCCTGCTGTCCAGGCGAGATTGACGGCCGTCTCCAACTTCTTGTTCACCTTCTGATAAATGGAGCCACCAAACTCTGTCCCGTCGTTTCTGCAAACAAGCACAGCACAGATGCCCAGCCGCCCAGGAAGGCAGGCAGGGGCAGGGCAGAGCTGCCCAAGTCAGAGAGAGGGCAGGGAGGCTGTAAAAGGGTGGACCTGATCACAAAACAGGCACCAAATTGCAGGAAGCCTGGCAGGAATGGAACAGACACCAGAGCTGGGGTTGTTTGGAGGCAGGGAAGGCCCAAAGGCAGCTCAGTCAACTACTCAGGCTGCACTGAACTTGCAGTTTGCTTCCAAAATATTCTTTAAAAATAGATGCAGCAACAAGGCCACTGGGGTTCTGGATTCAGGGTGATTTCTTTCTCCTGCTGCTAATGTTATTACTTTTACAAATGTTCCTATCGTAAAAATGGTAAGGGGGCGCAGCAAATGAGACAAGAACACAGCCAGACCCAGCAAGCGAGGCTGGGATGGCAATCCCCAGACGGCATGGCACAGCCATTAGCACTGCCAGCTACAGCCACAGCGGAGCCAGCCCCCTGGAGGAGAGGCGACGACCGAAGAGCTTCACCTGTGATCCAGACTGGCCCACCCGTGCACACTGCTGGTCCACACAGCAGTGTCTATGGTCCGGGTAGGGTTTGAAAAGGAGCTACTTGCTACTTACAAAATGTTTCTGGTCTTTCCAAACGGAATGAAACCCAGCTGGCCAGACTGCTTCCTCTCTTCCAAACACACCACGTCGACTCCAGCCTCAGGAATAGGCCGTTCCCCTCCCTGACATTCTCAACATAAACAGTCAAAGTTCTGCCTCATCATTTTGGTGGTTTCCAGTGGAAATGCCACTGGGAACCATTACGGCAGAGCCCACATGCTTTGGAATCTAGAACTCAGAACTCATTAACCCGAGAACGAATGTACTGCAAAGTCTGTCTCTCACCATACAACCTCCGTAAGGTAGGCGCTCATGAACACATTCTAAATTCCCACACTTTGCCCTGAAATGCAGCGGGACAGACATTGCACTTCCTGAAACTACAAGCACCACCTGGCTCACAGGCAACCCTGGCTTCTCCGGGAAGTCCAAACAGGCCACTCAACAGCCGTTTGTCAAGCACAGTAGATATGAGGCCTGAGCAGTGTGGCTCAGTCTGGTGGGGCGTCGCCTCACAAAGTGAAAGGTTGCCAGTTCGATTCCCAGTCAGGGCACAGGCCTGGGTTGTGGGTTCAAGTCCCCAGTTAGGGCACCTGTGAGAAGCAACCAATCGATGTTTCTCTCCCTCTTTCTCCCTACCCTTCCCCTCTCTCTAAAAATAAATAAATAAAATCTTTTGAAAAGAGAAAAAGAAAAAAAATAACAGATTTGATTGGCTTTGGTATAACTCAAATGGGGATGTTTTCTCAGGCTTAAATGAGTTTTCTAAAAAAACAGATTTTTCTATGTATTCTAAAAGCAGCAACACAGCCTTCCTGTACTGAGCTCTGAAAACCACAAAGAGAGGGGCCTCATTCAAATGCCTCCCCGTGGAGCACAAAGAGCATCTGTTAGGCATCCGGGCAGACTCGGGGCAGCCAGATTAGCTGTATCAGCTGATCCCACGCCAGGTTCCCAGATAAGCCACGCCCACTTCTCAAAACCCAGGAAGCTCAGGTACAAGGAGGAAAACAGCAACCAGCCATCATTCTCCCTACACCGGCGCCAACTCCTGGCTCCAGACCAAGAAGCATTGTCCATCGCAGTCACGACTCTAAATTAAAAAGCACGTCCACGCTTATGGTAGTTTCCCACGACTTTGTATGTTACCTTTTCTCAACTGACATAACCTTTCTGCCCCCTTTGGGTGTCCATTTCTATGAGTTCTAGCGCAGTGCAGATGCGAGTGCCTCCCAGCACAGTGAGGACTCAGGGCAGTCCCATCCCCCAGCCGCTCCTTTGTGGTCACAACCTCCCCCACCCCCCACAAACCTCTGCGGTGTCCATCTCTACAGTCTTCCTGCGACTTTTTTGTTTTAAAAGACTCAAAATTTAGACCCTGACCAGTGTGGTTCAGTTGGTTGGGCATCATCCCGCAAATCAGAAGGTCCAGTTCCTGGTGAGAGCACATGCCTGGGTTGCAGGTTCAATCCCCAGTCAGGGCACATACTGGAGGCAACCAATAGATGTTTCTGTCTCACATCAATGATTCTCTCCCTCTCTCCCTCCCTTGCTCTCAAAATAGATAAATAAACCCTTAAAAACAAAAGACTCAAAAATTTTAATAACATTTATTTATTATACTATGTTAATTATAGAAATTTTCTCCAAAAATTGCACTAGTGGAAATGTGATTCATTTAGACACTAATACCATTTACTTGTCTTTATGGTTCAGGAGTCACTTCTTTAGTGCCCTCTAGTGGACAGAAAGAAATTTGGTAAAGTTGTACCCCACCTGTGCCACAGGTTAGTTCCTGGTGCCTACCGGGATTTTATGGATGAATTTCTTGTTTCCCTTAATCTAAATCAGCACTCCAACTCTCCAGTTTGATTCCAAGGGGCTCCCTCTAACCTAACCTATAAGTGTCTCTTTCCTTCACTACACTGTCCGGGAATTAACGTTTAAGTGCTCCGCCGTCCAGCGAGGACACCACTACGCTGAGAAAATCGGCTCCTAATTTGTGTCCCGTGCCTGGGTTCCGGCAAGCTGACCCTTGTAGGCAGCACGCAGGGAAAGAGACAGAGCTGCACCTCCGCCTCCCGTTCTGTTAACTAAAACCAAAAGGACCTCCATGTCCATGTTGCTGCAGGGAGGAGCGTCCCCTCCGGACTGACATCGCACCCTGGCTGTCACTGGCCAGTCACCCTGTGTGTGCCAAGGACAGCGTTTACTGTGCACAGAGTAGAAGGAACCTGAGTCGCGTCAGGAGACTGTTAGGTGGGGCACAGAAAACAGGAGCCCTCCGTTTGCTCACCTGATGCCAGCAAACTCACTTCACGGCGACTGAACCTTGGGCTTAGAAAACACCACGAAGAACAGCCCCCTGCTGCACACGCTCGCACACCCACACTCACACACACTTACACATTAGTGTGCAGCTGGAATTCATCAGTCTTGTAGCCAACCGCAAAGTTGCTCTGGGTCACTCGAGACTTTGCGGTCTCAAAATTCATCTGGTAGCCGGCCAGCCAGCCCTCGTAGCCCAGCACCAAGGCACCGCGGACCGAGGGCCCTGCGATGTCGAAGTCCACGTCGCAGCCCAGGTTGATGTGCTCCCGCTTGTACCCTGTCTTGATCTTAGCATTCTTTTTCCTGAAGGAAAAGAAATCATGTCAGAATCAGAAGCTAACTCACCTGGAGACAACCATGCCAAGAAAGGCAAATTTTAAAAGAGAATTCCAGTTTCAGTAGGGAGGTGGGGGTCCCAGGTCTCCCTTAGGCAGCTGCTAAGTCACAATGGGAAGAACTCGATCAAATCCAGTCTACAGAAATGCCACAAGATGAAGTGAGAACACAAACTTGAAAAACTTAAGTCACTTAAGTCACTTTCTCTTACTCTCCTCTCCGTTTCATGTAGTGGCCTACAGAGGCATTTGGTAGGTAGAGCACCACCATGTAATTACGAAACAGATGCCTCTTCGAGATTCTCCAAGACTGTGGTAAAGATACATCTGTCTGCTCTGGCTGGTGTGGCTCAGTGGATTGAGTGCTGGCCTGCAAACCAAAGGGTCACCGGTTTGATGCCTAGTCAGGGCACATGCCTGAGTTGCAGGCCAGGTCCTCAGTGGGGGCACATGAAAGGCAACCACACATTGAGGTTTCTCTCCTTCTCTTTCTCCCTCCCTTCCACTCTCTCTAGAAATATATAAGTAAAATCTTCAAAAAAAAAGATACATTCCTCATGGAGGCACTTAAGGAAACAGCTGATCATCTTCTTACTTTGTGGCTCACTTAAGTAAAAAAGAAGCAAATACTAGACCCTGTCTAAGTAAAGTTGGACAGCTATTAATTCCGTATCCCTGAGATGCCAGGCCAGGAAGACCCCAGATCTCGTCCGCTGACCCCGGGTTTGTGTGTCTGACCAGATCGATGCCTCCCTCCCTGCCTGAGACTCAGGAAGCAGCAACCCAGCATCCCTCGGGAAGGGCAGGGGGTTGTGTCGCCTGCAGACACATCACCACCGTGCCTTGCACCGCAGGTCAACACTGGAGACAAGATCACAGCTATCACGTGACACTCAGACTGTCTGCACCTGAGTGTTTCTGTCCCTCAGCTGCACAGTGGACGCCTCCCACTTGGTACTCCACAGGCTGCGTTCTCAGCAGAGCTCACAGGAAAACCCTGCACAGCCCTGTCTGGCCCAGCTCCATTCGAAGTGAGACCAAGGCTTCCCAGCGCCCAGCCGGCAGGTCCTAAATTCCATTCCCTCCTAAAAGAAACATGTGCTCCTCGGAGAAACAGCTGGTTCCAGGTCGGGGCAGGAAAGCTGTGAGGCGAGCCTGAGGCACCTGCCAGAGCTGCGAGGCCTACGCATGGGGCCGGGGCAGGAGGGCTGGGGAGCTCACCGGGAGAGTCTTCCAGGGGCTTCAGACATGGGGTCATGTGAGTGTTCTTAAAAATAGCCCTGGCACCCTGGCTGTATATGTTGTTTACTTCAAAATAATCTGCAGGTGGGAGGGATTCATTGTGATTGTATAAGTAAAACATGATTCTCCACGGGTTGACAATTATTAAAGCTGGGTGACAGGAACATGATGAGGGTTTAATAGCTTTTCTGCATTCTTCTGTATGTTTGAAACTTTCCACAATAAAAAATGTGCAGGTGAAACATCCCAGGTTCTCAAAGAGTCAAGAATTTCAGGTCACAGCTAGAGATAAAGCCAAGACCCTTCCCAAGCAACAGCGACACTTGCAACTTTTGTTTGAGTTGCTTCTGCACATTTTCACAAGCTTTGGCGGAAAAGCCCAAGGACCAAACCAATTCTCTCTCATAAGACAAACTCAAACCTGTTGGGGTCAGCCTGGTCTTTGTGGGCAGCAGCCTGGATTTTGGCCAAGCATCTGCCTGGCACCCGGCTGGGCGGGGTGATTGATGAAAAGACAGCTGCTCAGAGCTGACGCTGAGGAAGCGAAGGAGACCGAGAAATGTGCCCACCGGCCAGGGTGTGCCAACTGGCCTGTGCGCAAAGCACAGCACCTCCACACAGCGGCCCACTGGGCTCTGGCCAAGGACATGAGGTCCCGGTGAATGGGCAGTGACTCCAGTATCCCTCCGGGTTTCTGATCTGACAGAGCATTCCACTGATCGGAGCATTCCACTGGTCGCTGCTGCAGTGGTGGTGCTAATGTGACAAGCACTTGAAAGAGGCGCCGACTGGTTTGTGGTTAACAAGGCGGCTTTATTACCCACGCTGGGTGCTCAGCATGGGCGCCGGTCCCTAGAGGAGGTCTGCAGCCCGCCCAGATGTGGTCTCCGCTCCGCTCTGCTCCTCAGGGAAGCCGGGGGGCCTTCCCAAGCACCACCCCCGCCCCCGGCCGCCCTGGAAACCCGGCTTTCATTTCCAGTCTCCACCCAGTAGAACGCCTGTGCCTTGGTTTCAAAGCACCATTCTTCAAGAAGAGGAACCTAGGCTTTTTGGAGAACTGGCAGACAGCAGGACTATGGAAAGGCGAGAAGATGAGCCTGGAACAGCCTCTGAAGAAGGCCCCCCCAGCAGAAAAGATAGGGGCTTGTCAAAAATACACAGTGGCCGTGTCCAGGGGCAATATGAGTAAGAGAATAAATATCCAGGAACCCATACTGATATATCAATAAATAAGTGGCAAGATAAATAAATGGAAAAGAAAGAAAAGCTCTTCCTTACAGCAGAACCCCAATTAATAAATGTGGAAGGAATGACCGGAACAGGAAATCACCATTTGCCAAATATGTAAACACCACCAACAGATACTTTATGAGTCAAAGTATAAGAAACAGAATATTTACAAAGTCTCGAAGTATCTCCCCACAAGATAATAAGTAAATGATAAGTATCTCCCCACTTACTACTTACAAAGAGGAAAACAGCAGATGCATGGAGAAAGCTGGCAAGCACCGCTTTAAGCAAGTGGTGGAAGTTAACGTCACCACTGGTGAGGCACATTGACCTACATAGCTCCTGATACTATGAAGCCCCACAGTGGACACAACACAACCTCACTCCTCAGGTCGAAAATCTGCATAGCATAACCTGCCCTGGCTGGTGTGGCTCAGTGGATGGAGTGCCGGCCTGCGAATGGGAGGGTCGCCAGTTCAATTCCCAGTCAGGGCACATGTCTGGGTTGCAGGCCAGGACCACAGTGGTGGGGGCGGGGGGGTGCAAGAGGCAACCACACACAAGTGTTTCTCTCCCTCTCTCTCCTTCCCTTCCCCTCTAAAAATAAATAAAATCTTTTTTAAAAAAATGCATAACCCAAGTTTAAGCATGAGGAAACATCAGACAAATGCAAGCAGAAGAATTCTAGAAAAGAACTGGCCAGCCCTCTTTCAATGTGTCAAGGTCACACCCTGACTGATGTGGCTCAGTTGTTCGGGCGTCATCCCACCGAGCAAATGGTCACCGGTTTGATCCCTCCCAGGGCTCATGCCTGGGTTGCAGGTTTGGTCCCGGGTGGGGGTGCATACGAGAAGCAACCGATAGACATTCTCCTCACACAGATATTTCTCTCCCTCTTTCACACTCTCTTCCCCTCTCTCTAAAGAGAAATAAAGTCTTTTAAAAATCATACAAGTGTCCAGGTCGTGAAAGACAGAGAAAGACCGTTCCAGGTTACAGGAGACAAGGGGACATGACATAAGTGACTGCGGCCCCCTAACCGGATCGCAGACTGGAAAGAGACACCAGTGCGACACGGGCCAGTCGGCAGTGTCAGAGCAGCAGAACTTCCCGGCCCCAGCAGTCACAGAAGATGTTCACATTAGGAGGAGCTGGGTGAAGGAGGTAAGAAAACTCTACACACCATTTGTGCCACATTCTTGCATATGTTAAATACAAAATATTTCAAAATAAAAACCTAAATTAAACAAAGGCCTTTCCTCTTATGCGTATAATTGCAGAACCCAGAAACTCCTCTGCCACCTCCCAAAAGGAGTGCAGAATCCCTTACAAGTCCCAAAGGGTGCCACCCAGGGCAGCGGCAAAGTCCCAGCAGCACAGTAAAGCATGTGGGCATGCGCGCCAGCCCCACGTCCTATCACAGGCTCTCTGGATAACTTCTCCCACCACACCAGGTGCTGGGCAGGGAGGGGACGAGCAGGAAGGCAGTTCTGCTGCAGGAGAAACACCAGCAGACATGAGAACAAGAGCAATTCAGCTCCTGGCCACGGGCTTCAGATCATCCCTATCCGAGTTACAAAGAGACTATACAACCTGCAGAAGCGGGAGCCCCATCTGCCCAGCCCTTTCTAGTTGCCCCACGCCTAGTACAGGGTCTGAGCTCGGGAGATCCTCCCTCTAAAAAACACCTGTCAGGTGGGTGGGGGGGAGTAAAGGGTAAAGGAAGACAAATATACGGTGACAGAAGAAGATCTGACTTGGGGTGGTGGGCACACAACACCATACACAGGTCATGTCACAGAAATGTGCACTGGAAACCTGCATCATCTTAACCAATGTTACCCAATAGATTTAATTTAACACACACACACATGCACACACGTACACCCTGGCTGGGGGGTTCAGGTGGCCGGAGCATCACCCCAACACACCAAGGCTGCACGTTCAGTCCTGGCCAGGGCACGTGCAAGAAGCAACCAGCGATGCATGAACAGGTGGAACAACACATCCACACGTCTCTGTCTCTCTCTCTCTCCAAATCAATAAGTAAAAAAAATTCTTAAAGGCACTTGTCAGAAGGGAAAAAGAAAGGAAAAAATACTACAGAATGGCAAAAAATGCATTTCATAATGCCACTGAATTGTACACTTAAAGATGGAGCAGACGGTCGACTTCATGGGTGTACCTGACCACAATGTTAGGAAACTAAACTATGAAATTAAGTACACGCCCTTGAGCCTGCCATCAGTGTGCAAAACAGCCCTCCCCAGGTTTGGGAGACCGCTGTTCTGCACAGAAAACAGCAAAAGTGGGCTCTTCTCTTCTAGAGGGCGCTCACTCCTGAAGGTGAGACAGACGGACACCCCACCCTGCCTCTCTGGAGGTGCCCAGCAACCATCAGGCCTAACTAGTTTGTGGCTGGGGAGCCTGGGGCAAAAGGTGGGGCCTCCCTCAGGAGCCACCTCACAGTGAAGCCCACACACTCAGTGTCCCTAGGAAGCTGGGCACAGGGCCCTTCGCACCTGAAATATGGGGCTGGCACCAGAGACCAGCTAGCCCCTGCTTCCCAACTTCCCCAGCGGCCCTACAGCCCCTGCCCCTCACGGGGCCTGCAGCCTCACTCACGCGCAAGGGAACGGAACAGGACCTGAAACAGAGCGGCCCCCATGGCTGAGGCCGGGACAACACACGCGGGCAGCGCAGGGAAAACAGACGCGACTCTTACCCAGTGTTCGGTGAGAAGGATGAATCAAAGGTCAGCTTCAGTCCACGCGCGAGCTGAACAAAAAGAAAGCGGCCAGGAGGTTGAGTCACGGGGCAGGCCAGCAGGCGTCAGCGGGAACACCGCCCTCCCGCGGGGGCGCATACCTGGTCCTCCACGGTGATCTCCGTGCCCAGCGTGTTGTCCGTGTTCCACTTCTCCGTGAACGTCAGCCCGTACTCCGTCCACCTGTACTTGGTTTCCAGGCTGCCCGTCACTTTGGTGGTCTCGGTGTTGGCAGAGCCCGAGCTTGTGAATTCCTGGAAAGGAGGGAGGCGGTCACGGCCTGCACACCCATCACCCCACCCTGCACTTTCCTTTATGCAACAGGAGGCGCCTGAACAGGTGGGGCAAAAGCTAATTCTACAAGGCATTCAAGTATTTCAACAGAGGGCGCTAAAGGGACCTGCAACTTCAAAGAGTCTCCTGGGGAGCCCTTCCTCGGGAGAGAGCCTCCTTCCTCCCCTGCAACTCTTCAGTCCCCACAGGAGGGCGCTGGTCCCTCCCTCCCGCCTGCAGCCTCCAACGTAGAAAAAGTACGAGCTAAAGCTGACATTGCGGTAATCCAACCCCAAACCTCCTGCCTTCCAACAATTACCATCTGCACCATCTCAAAGGGACTAAAATTTTTAAGGGACTAAATTTTCAAAGGGACTAAAATTATGTGGAATTGAATACAGATCAACTGTGAAATTAAGAAACACAAGAAACCCTGGCCAGTATGGCTCAGTTGGTGGGAGTGTCATCCCACAAACAGAAAGGTCGTGGGTTCGATTCCTGGTCAGGGTTCATACCTAGATTGGGGGGTTGATCCATGTTTCTCTCTTGCATCAATGTTTGTCTCCCCCTCTCTCTCCCTCCCTTCTCTCTCTAAAATCTGTAATTATGTGCTGGGATGGGGTGGGAAGGGAAGGGAAGGGGAAACACAAAATAAAACTGACTCCCGCCCCATATACTTGAGAGCATTCAGAGTGCTGAATTGAGGACCTATTCGTGTGGTTCCCCTGGGCCACCCATCCCGCAGAGGATGAAATAAATGTGACAACTACGAGCTGCCACAATCATGAAAGTCCCTTCATTTGACTCTGCCACCCGGACACCGCAGCTTTTTGCCCATCTGTAATAAACAGCCGTGCCCCACGGGGATCAGACCACTTACCAGCCCATTCTCAGATTTTGTTTTCAACTCAAGTTTTATTAAGCCGAATCCTACGGAAAGAAGGTGATAACAGTTAACAGGTGAAGTAAGGAGCTCCAGAGCAGCCCCTCTGCCTCCTTGCGCACTTTCAGATGCCACGGGGCGCAGAGCGCCGCTGCCGGGGCTCCGTGGCAGCCAGAACCCGCACCGGCCCCGCCTGGCCCCCGCCTGGCCCCGCCTGGCCCCCGCCTGCGCCGCCAGCCAGCGGGTCTGAGGAACAGGTGCGGGGCGGCGGGGCGCGCACGTGCCCGCGGACGGGCTGCACGCCGCGGTGTCCACAGACCCGCCGCCGCGGAGGGCGAACAGGGACGCCCGCCCCCACTGGGCGCACAACCGCGGCCGCTCTCCCGGCCACAGGAAGCTTAGCTTTTTTCCCTGGTGTGAAAGTTCTCAGGGATGACCGACCCCGACCTATGCGGGGCAAAACCGCAAACACGCCGCTCCGGCCCGGGAGCCGAAAGGCCGCCGCACTCACCGTAGCCCTTGGTGAAGACGTCCCTGGCCGGCTTGCCGAGGTCAATGTACGTGGGCGGCACAGCCATGGTCTGCTGCGACGGAAGAACCAGAGAGAATGCGTCGGTAACTGCGGAAAGTAGTGCCCACCCGTGAAAATTAGCGGTGCGGTGAGCGATGAAGCCCTCAGCACCGAGCCCCGGGCACTGCCCTCTCGGGCGTGGGCAGAGCGGCCGTGCTGCCCGCGCCTCCCTGGACGCCGGGGCCCGAGACGCCGCAAGTTTCTGTGGGCAGCAGGTCAGCCGACTTCAGCCCGCGTCTCCCCTGAGCGGAGGCCAGCATACGGCAGGAGTCGGTAAATATTTGCTGAATGAATGAATTGTCAGACGCGTTCCCGTGAGCCAGCTACTTTACTGAACTGCAGGGCGCTTGCCAGAGAAAGATATCGTCTTACAGAATTTTGACGGCAGGGCATTAAATGCTCCGACTAGAGATCAGAGTTTTTCACGCAGACCTATTTTCCCCACAGGTCTGATTTCATTAATTCAACAAATATTTATGGTGTACCTCCTATGTGCCAGAATGGACCCAACTTTCTTTTTAACATTTTATTTATTTACTTTTACAGACAGGGGGAAGGGAATAAGAAAGAAAGGGAGAGAAACATCAATGTGTGGTTGCTCTCTCACACCCCCAACTGGGGACCTGGCCTGCAACCCAGGCATGTGCCCTGACTGGGAATTGAACCAGTGACCTTTTGGTTTGCAGGCCAATGCTCAATCCACCGAGCCACACCAGCCAGGACCCAGAATGGACCCAACTTTTCACTAAACTTTTGCATCTTAGGGGAACCCACTTTTGCAGTATCATATTCCTCACGGGAATATACTAAAAGCTGATTAGGCAACTCTTCACATGAAAGGCAATGTAAGCACATCCCCCCCAAAAAAATTTTTAATTCAAACATTTGAGCTCCAATGTGACTTTTTCCTTTAAAACCAGCTATCCGAGTACTACTTGGGACTGTTGCATATCACTAAGTCAGTCAACAAGCATTTATTAAGCGCTCAGTACTCAAGGAAGGCGAGCAATTCACACAGTCCTTGCCTCAGAGACTGCACCGCGCCCCTCGGAGGCTCTGCTCGGACACACAGGCACCCGGAATTAAAAGCCCAAAGCCGGACAGCGTCATCCTCTGCACCTTCGCCATCTCCAGAGTCATTAGCCCGCAATTCAATTAACCAGAGGGTGGCTCCATCAATTCGTGAAGTGCAGCACATCTAAAGGGCCAGACTGACACTGCACACGCCGCACCCGAAGCCACAGCTACTCACAGGAACAAACACCTGTGCGGCACGCTCCTGGCGGGGGAACCCACTGAGAAGTGGGCCCCAGGGCCCCGGGGGGACACCACCACAACCGGAAGCCCCACTCCTGACCCAGACCAACTTCAGACACCTTTCGGGGGGCCCACAAAACCAGTGAGCGCTTTGGAAAAGAAATGCCGATAAACTTCCACAGTCTTACATGGTACACTGTGCTCCGGGTCCTATCTCCCTTTTTCCCGGGTTTCGCTGACTCTGCCCCGACCCACTTGTGTGACAGAGCAGAGGAGCAGCGCAAGCCGCTCGAGCTGTCCTAGTTTCATTGCTGCTATTTCTCACACATGGTCAGTCCGGAAGCACGGGCAGCTCCGCCCACATGAGGGTCAGAGCACAAAAAACATGGGGGAAGATCCATTTTTAAGCTGCCTGCCACTGGCTCTATCAAGTCTAGAGACTCCCCCTCCACCCCAAACCAACCCTATGGGCACGCCCACCCCTGGGACAGACCAGGAAACCATCCGCCCTTCTCCCATTGAATGACCCCAGCCTCAGGCAGATGCCCCGGCATGGCCCCTCCCAGCAGAAGCAACCAAACAACCCCAGATAGAAGGCTGAGGGAATGCAGCCCCAAGAAAACTTGCAGAACATCTCTGCAAGCCTCCCAGAACATTCTCCACCCATGCCAGCACCAACAGGTATCTGGACTTCAGCACGGCCACCTCCCCAGCTGGGCCCCAGAGGCAGCCCTGGGGTGAGGGGAGAGCAGTCCCATGGTATTATCTCTGAGTCAGCCAAGACCTCCCTGCACCCCAGGGGCCAGGGCCTTCCCAGGACCCTCCCTGGCTCCGGACCAGCCTCCCCAGACAGAGCGGTTGGTGCATCTGGAGAGGCCCGTCCCCCAGGGAAAAGGCGGAACACTCACCCTTTACCGTTCCCCAGACGCCCTCTCTCATCACTAATCCCCAGCACTGAACAGGCAGAGCCACCTGCCAAAACCCGCTCCTCGCTCAGCAAACATCACCCTGAGTACAGGTTGCCAAGGAGATTACCATCCAAGGACAAAGGAGGTCGGGTAGCAGAGGGCTCCCAGGCCAGGCTGGACTCTCCTCAGGGCTCCGGGTCAGCCCCAAACCCACCCCTGGGCCAGAGGGAGCACCCACCAAGGGGGCAGGAGGATGACCCCTTCACTAAGCACCCCCAACTCTCCGAGGGAAAGCCTGAGGCCACTCTGCCTCTCTGAGCTCAGCTTTTTACAACTGCAAACATCAGCCAGAAAATGCCCATTGTACACAGTTCTCAGCACCACTTGAGAAGAGTTCTATTGTAGAAGTAACAATTCCATTCATGTTTTTCAGGCCAGTACTGGAGGGGAGGGAATTCCACATTCTGCCTTCTCACTGAATTCCCCGCCTGCACTGACTGGGAGGTGGAACCCTAGCCCTGGGCCCTCCCTCTGCCCCCATCAGCTCACCACCTGTCCCTACAGGGTCCACCCCACGTGTCTGCAGAAGCCCGGCCTCCAGAGGCTGAGCATGAAGCAGGGCACTCTGGCATGGGCAGAGCCACCAGCCCTAGATAGAGAGAAATCAGACAACTGCAGAGGGGGAGGCAGGACCCCAGGTCTGGGCCTTGGGGATGGAGCACACACCCCAAGGAAAAGTGAGGGATGGGCAGGGCCAGCGGAGCAGACCTGCCTACAGTCACCAAGGACTTTGAGAAGGACCAGTAAACCACACCAGGAGACAGGAGCCCCTGGCTCCCCTCCACTGCCTGCCAGCCTACCTACCCAACCTTTCCCTGGCTGACCTTGAACAATTATGCAAGCTCCTCTCCGGCTCAGGAATGAAAATCCAGTCCACACTGGAAGCTCATAGGGGAGAGATAGTATATCACCCGGCATGGACTGCGTCACACTTACATAACCTCTGTCTGGGGGGACATACCCTCCTCAGCTGGGCGTCTACACGTCAGTGACAGCTGCTCTGCTCCCAGCCCCGCCTCTGCCCCCACAAATGCACACCCACTCCCAAATCACACCTCAAACTCAAAGCATCCCAGAGCCTGTCGTGCATAAATTTATCCAAAACATTGAAAAAGCTATGTGTGCAAAGATGCCAAGGCCTAGCACATAATAGGCATTCAATATAAATGTGTGTTTCATGTGTAAATGGGCAATGAGCATCAAAGTGCTTTTACAAGTAGGAGGAAAAAGAAAGAAACTAAGTATCTGACAACAGGGACTAAATCAATGACAATGTAACCAGGAAGCAAGAGCTCCGCCCAGCGGCACCACCAGAGATAGGGGACAGAGAGACCCACGACAAGACTAGCGCCCCTCCCCCACTCGGGCGGGAGGAGAGCTGAACTCAGACTGAGGAGACCCAGTGCCCTCAGAGGCAGCACTGCCACTGACCCCAGAACCACACGTGGGCTCCTGGGCCGTGAGGAGCCACTTTAGGGGGACCGACACACCTGTGTTTGGGAAACTCACTCCACCAACAGATCAGCAAAAATGCAAGTGGCAATATTGACTATCAGGGTGGAAAGTGGTCACTCCCAGTCACGCCAGGTGGAAGAACTGGGTACAGTGCAGCCCTTTTGCAGCCAACTGCTGGCAGTGCCCAAGTGGGCATGCACAAACCCCGAGGACAATTCTACAGCTGAGGGCTCACCCACCACAGTCCCCAAGGAGTTTGTGAGGAGGCTCACAGGAGTGTTATTTGTAACACAAAACCCAGAAGCAACCTAAATGTCAATCAACAGGCAAATGAATGAATAAAACTTAAGGTACCAGTACTTGCAAATGAAGGAGCACCATGTGGTAAGCCAAAGAGTGATGTGAATTTATACATGGTGGCATAGAAAACTACCTGTGATAGAGTTAAATGCAAAAAGCAAGTCACAGGAAATCTGCAGTCCCATAGACTTAGGGGAAAGCCTCTTCATGCTCATGCACTTGCGAATGAATGGAAAAGAGGGGAAGGGCACGGGCCAATCTGCACATGGGGCTGCCCAGGGGCTGCTCCCACAGAGCAAAGGGCATGTAGGGAAGGGGCGGAGTTAAAACAGTATTTTCATTTCTTATCCTACTTCACTATTTGTATATACCGATTTTTTTTAAGGACAGAAAATTTAAACATCCAACCAGTGAGTCCAAAACGATCCGTGTTGCCTTTGCCACATCACAAGTCACATCCTAATCAGCCGCTGCAGCAGGAGCACCAAACGGAAAGCTCCCTGGAAGGTGTCCACACGGGTTCTGAGCCGCAGTTCAAACCACACTGCGAGGGCAGGGCTAACAGGAAAGGCCAGTAGTGGGCACGCTCTGCGCCCGGTGACCACCTGCGGCTTTGGCCGCCCAGCCCGGTAGGCAGGGGCAGGAGCAGGGCAGGGCTCCCCAGGGTTGCTCAGCCCGGGGAATCGCCTGCGGCACTGGTTTCAACAGCCTCCTTCCCGCCCTCTCAGCCTTTTGCTGTCCAACCGGCAGGGCCGCCTGCAGGCGCCACTGAGAAGGGCGGGCTCTCCCCTGCACAGAGCACCCCCGATCCCCCACTTGAAGTCTGCGTGATCTTCTCTCTGCGGAGGACGCAGGCAGCAGAGCCGTGGTGGCCTTCACAGAGCCAGCCACCAAAGCCTCGGCTGACACAGGGAGTGGGGTGGCCATGGTCTCCAAACTCGGTCAGGAACAGCTGGGAGAAACAGTGTGGACCCAGGGAACACCCAGTGGGGTAAAGACCACATCTGGACAAGCAAGGGTGTCCCAGGGCTGGGGCCAAACACCAGGAGGCCCCTGCCAAAGCAGTCCCCAGCCCACCAGGGTGCCCGGTCGCAGGCCAGCAACTGCTGGGAGAGGTGGGAGCCGGCAGTGGGCCCAGCGGGCGCCGGCCTTCCCAAGCTGTGTCACATCGGACAAGCCACTTAACACCTCCTATCCCCAAGGTCTCATTTTGCTCATCTGTAAAATGGGCCTAACAATAGTGCCTTTTTATCAGAGCTGCCGCAAGGACTGGGCTAACAGGCAGAGCACGAGGACCGTGGGGCACTGCGGGCCCCCAACAAGCAGTGGTGGTAACCACACCCCTTACTCCGGGCAGTCTGTTTGCCCCTCCACATCCGCTTTCCTCCTCCAGCCAGCTCTGCGCCTCCAGCCCCGATCGCTACAGACTGCTGCCAGTGGGCTACGCTGGGTTTGGCCAACAGGCGGCATCTGCAGAAGATGGGCGTGAGGCTGGGGCACACACTCCCAGGCTCCCTCCCTGCTGGACCTTGGATGGGCAGTGGCTACTTTCTATTGCCCAAGCCCACAGCTCCTGCCAAGGGGCTCCTCCCAGTTCTGAAGAATCCCTGGGGCCCCACCCTCTACCCACACCTTTGCAAATGACCCTTTCATTATGCTTTTTAACTTTTTATTGCCCCATGTGAGTATGTACCCAATTCCTGTGAGGTTCTTGACCAACAAGGCAATCCTCACCATCACCACCAGCATCCCAGACTCCCCTGGCAAGGGACAGCTGTGGGAAAGCTCTCGGTTCTGCTGTTTCTCTAACTCTCGGATCCCAGGTGGTTCGCCAGGGCAGAACTGGGCCAGCCTGTAGGAGGAACACCAGACCAACCAGGGACTGATGCGCAAGCACCTTCCCCCAGTTCTGGGTGCCAGGAAAAGCAGCTTCCCTAGCAGGAGGTCAGCCAGGCTGTGAGGGCCAATCAGCACCCTCAGGAGCCTCCCCACACACTCCACCCCATACCTCCTCGCCAGGAAGAGGCAGCCCAGGAGAACAGCCCTGGGAGGCTGGCAAAGCCCATGTCCCATGTTCTGGTACCAGGTCTGTGTTCCCAGCGCAGCTGTCTTCCCCTCCCCCTCCCACATCAGACTCAGGCAGGGCGGCCCTGCAGGCGGTGCTTCTATTTTAATATGTGCTGGGAGCCGGGCCACCACCTGCACCGCCTTCCACAAGCCTCGAGAGAATGTAGCTGACTTGGGGGCAGCCTGCCCACCCACCCACCCACCAAGAAGAGAAGACCTGGGCTGGCAGGAAACCTGCCAAGGGCTGGGTCCCAGGAGCAACCAGGGCTCCTTCATGGCCTCCGGCCCCTCACGTTCCCTGGAGCCTCACACCTGGCCCGACACACCAGGTTAAAGGGGACAGTGCCGGGCCGGTGGGTTCGGGAGCCCAGCGGCCCTGAGTTCCTATCCCACTCTACCACCCTCCAGACAGGCGAGTGGGGGCAAGTCACAACCTACCCGCACCTTGATTTTCCCTTGGCTCTGACACGAGGAAAGGACACCCAACTTCACATCCTTGTGAGGACTGAATTGGATTAATGCAAAGCACTTAGTACAATGGCTGGTACCTGACAGGTGTGCGACAAGCACAGGTATTTTACTTCAAGCTTTCATTTTATATGCTTCTCACCATAATTAGGGCTGCTGTGCAAGCTGCCAAAAGGTCACCCTGAACCACAGGGTCCAGAGTCCTCCCCGACCATAATGGGGTATTGTTTAGCTGAATGCTGTCCAGCCAGGTCCTGCAAGAATGCCTCCCACCTCGTTCCAGGAGAGCACACCCCCCTGACAGACACCCAGCGCCAGTGACCTGGCACCGAACACGAGTGACCCTGCTGACCGCTGTCCACACTTGGCCCACACACAAGGATGGGCATGCTCACTCCCTTCAGCGTAAAGGAACGACTTTCCCAGAACAGCAAAAGGTGGTCACCTCTATCATCCCCTCCCAAAGGCCCCCTGGAGGGTCCACCACAGTGTGACAGCCTCAGCACTGGGCAGCCCGACGTGGAGCTGGGTGGCTCTGGCTGGCTACCTCGCCGCTCTGGGCTCCAGCCTCCTGACCTGGGAAACGGCAGTGACAGGCCCTCTCTGCCAGGGCCTGTAACACGGTCCCAGTGCAGCACCCCGGGGGGGAGGGGGAGCAGGCAGGGAGACCCATGACCGGCACCCCTACCCCCACCCTGGCCCGAGGAGTCACATAGCATCAGTCAAGCCCCCAGGGCGGTGCTGGGCAGGCCCTTGGTAACCAGTGACTGTGAGAAACTGAGGAACAGGAAGAGCGACTTGGCCTGAACTGGACCCTGTGACTCACGGCAGAGCTGAGCTGTGCTGGCAGTCTGCTCTCCAGGACTCTTCAGCACAGCTCTGGTCAAAGGGCCGAGATTTCCCTTCCTCCCCCAGAGCAGGCAGGAAATCAGAGCACTGGGCTCAGGCCCAGCTGAACCTTCACTCCTCACCTGTCTTCGGTGGCCACCAGAGCAGGCTGGGGTGGGGCTGGGGGGCCCAAGACCACTGAGCCACAGGGTCAGACCTCTGAGCACCAAGGCACTGCCTTCAGGCTTGGCTGGCTCTCAGCCACACACATGCCTCCTTGTCACTACGCCCAAAGATGTCACGCTGTGAGAAATGTCATCAAGGGCAAAGTGGACTTCGGGGCCTCAAGCGCATTTTACCGGAAAAGGTTGGAGTGAATGTAGCCCATGACCACCAGCTTGGAGGTCACTGTCCACCAGGAGGCTAGTGTCCAGCAGGACCAGAGGCCCACAGGCAACTCCTTACTGTAAGGCCCCAGAGCCCCTGTGTTTGCGTCTACAAACAGCCCCTGCCAGCAGCCTAGATAAAGCCGAGTGATCAACCGACAGCAGCGCCCCTACCCAGGGTCAAGCTCTTCATTCAGGTCAGCCGCAGAAGCCACGCAGAAGCCATCAGAGCGGGAAAGGCGCAGGCCCAAGGCCTTTAGGAGAATTCCCGCTCGCTCTGCCCTGCCAGCCCAGAAACACCAGTTCCACAAGTTTCCCACTGGACTTGGGAAGTCGCAGAACGAAGACAACGCGTTTAAAAAAGCAGCAGCTTTTCAAATAAGAAAGTGTTGCCTCACTCACTGCTCTAGGGCTGCACGAGCTGTGGCCGCTCTTCGTGTGTGTGGCTCCGGCTGGGCCAGGCTACTTTCTGGGAGGGAAGGAGATGCGTGTGTCCCTCGAAAAGGATCTCCAGGACTGTGGGACTCTGGTCTGGGCCTGCAGCCACTGCATGGCCATTCAGTGAGTCCACAAATGCCTAATGAGCACCTACTATGGGCCACATGCCGGAAGGGTAAAAACTATCCTGTCAACAGGGTGAGTCAACTCTTAGATAAAAAGCCAGTGTATTCACCCCACAGCGCCTTCTCAAGTACCTACTGTGTGCCGGGTGCCACCACCCTGGACACGGAAAACAAAGCCGCAAGGGCTGAAGCCTGCGGGTGTGGGCTCCCAGTCCAGGGCTGGGGTGGAGAGCAGGCGACAGCCCCAGGCAGCGTGCCCTGGCCCTGCCAACTGCGTAGTAAGCGAAAGGGCCCACCCCCCTGCCTCCTCTGGAGAGACGGGTGGAGGGGCCAGGACCGGCCTCAGGGGGAACAGGCGCAGGCTCAAGCCCAGGTCTGCACCCACACCCGACTTCCTGCTCCAGCCTGACCCCGTCTGTCCGTAAACTTAGAGGATTGTTCACGAATATCCTGAAAAGTACTCGACATCTGGCACACAAATGCTTAATAACTCCTAATGTTTAAATCAGCAGGGGCTACGTTTCCTGGCCCCTTTCCAGAACACCACATGGAGCACACAGGTCTGCTGGGCAGAGGTCAGACGCCCAAAACCTGCCTCAAGGGTCAGCGTCAGGTCAGCTTCTCCAGGGGCCTCCTCCTCGCCAGACAGCTTTCCAAGACTTCACATTCACCAATTCATGTTACACTTCCCGAAAACCCAAGGAAGGAGAGCTGTAAGCGTTCCCATTCTATGGATGGGAACACTGAGCCGCGGCGTCCTCCCCGCTGCGTGACCTTGGACGAGTCACTAGGCCCTCGGGCCTCAGATCCAAAGGGCTCTGAACCAGTTTCCTGAATGCCACGTTTGACTCATGAACGAGCGACACACACAGGAGTCCTTGCTAAGGACAGAGAGGCCACGTTGCTCTTGCGGGGCCTCCTTATCCGGAGCCTAACCTCCTGCCCCGGCCCCGGCCCCGGCCCCGGCCCCTGTGGCCAAAAATCCACTCCGGGCCTCCAGTTCCGCCCTGATGGCGCTGGCACGCGCGTCCAGTGCTGGCCGCCAGCTTCTCCGGGTGTGGATCGGACAGGGCGTGAGGGGCTGGGGGCGCCGGACCACGGTGAACCCATGAACTCACCCCCTCGGGGACCGCATGGCCCGAACCCGGCCAGGGTCTCCGCCTGGGGAGCGTGGGTGGCGGGCGGGTCCTTCCCAACCCGCGCTGGCGGGATCCAGGGCCAGAGGGCGCCGCCGGGGAAGGTCACCTAGACCTGCTGCCAGCCGGGCCTCCACGCGACGGCCTGCGGCCTTCCACCAGTGAGACCCCAAAGCTCTGGCCCCCGGCGCCTCCGGATGCCCGGCCTCCAGCTCCCCGACCCGGGCCCGCTCGCCGCCCGCCCGTGCGGCCTGCTCTGCCCGCTGCTGACCCGGCAGGCCCACGCCGGCCGCTCCCGCTCCCGCGCCCTCCTAGGCCTTGGCCAGTCCTTCCCCTCCCCTCCCCTCCCCCCAGCTCCCCGGGCCCGCGCACGGCCCGGAGCGAAGGCAGAGCCCCAGCCTGTCTCCGCTGCGCCTACCTCAGAGGCGGTGGCGGCGGGCTCAGCGGCGGCTACGGCGGGGACTGCGGCGCAAGGAACCCAGCGAGCGGCGGGCCGAGGGAGGAGCGCGGGACAGCGGCGGCGCGGACCCGCCCCGACCCTGCGCGCCGGGACCGAGAGCTCCGCCCCAGGGCCCGCCCCGGACACCGCCTAGTCCCCGCCCGGGTCCGGGTTCCGCTGTGCCGCGTGTGCCCGGGCACGGGTGGCGGAGCCGAAGCGAGCTCGTCGTGTGCGTGCGCAGGGACACGCGTGCGGACCGCCCGCGCCAGACGGTCTGCCGGAAATCCCGTGGGGCCGAAGCATCCAGGGCGCGGGGCGGCGGAGTGTTCGGGTAGGCTCCCGGGTGGCCAGGGGATGCCCTGCGGTGATGCGGACGGCTGGGGCCGGTGCACTTGCTGCACCCTGCGACTGAGGACAGCCCCCACTCCGTCCCCGGAGTTGATGTGGCAGGTGGCTCTGAACCGGGGAGACCTAGCTTGGGCGGCTGAGGTGACCCCCAGGTACCCCGGCAAAGCCCGCGCGGGGCATTAAATCGGACACCCAGATGGGCTGGGGCATCCGGGTCCAGGAGGCGCGGGTACGGAGGAGTGGCCACCGCCCGCTGTTCCTGCGCCCTCAACACCTGCGGCCGGCGTGGCCGACCCCAAAGAGCGGCTCACAGCTCGCGCAGCTCGCACAGCCCTCCGGTGGCCCGGGCGAAGCGCCCAGCCAACTCCCCGGTGCGCCGAGCCTGCGCTCCGGGTGAGCGGTTTTCCCGGCGGTGAAGCTGCGAGCAGCCATTTCTGCAGCGTCGGAGAAGTGGAAAAAGCACAGCGCGTTTCGCAAGAACGTCCCCCGGGTCTTGCTGCGTGCGGAGGCACCGCCCGTTCCGGCCAGCGAGGGGTCGCTCGGGCCCTGCCCTCCCCACACGGAGCCCAGTTAAACGGCCTGGGGTGTCCCCGCTCGGCCAAGGCAGGTGGTCCCGATCACCACAGAGTATCAGTGGCATTCCACGCGACCCCCAAGCGGACTTTTCCAAGCCGACTTCAAGAACTGATGAATTCTTGGCTGGATAAAGATTCTGCAAGGCTTGGGGCGTCTACAGCCCGGTAGAGGGGGCTCCGGGCTACAGAGAAAGGACAGGAGCCCACAACCAGCTGTGGCACAAATCAAAGGAGTCGGCAGCTAGGACGTGCAAAGATGCCGTCAGGGCAGGCTGCTGGGAAGAGGCGGCAGCTTCAATAGCAAAGCAGCAACTGGTGTTCCAGTAGCGGATGGGACGTTGAGGAAGAAGCTAGCTAGCTTGGGGGCGGGGTGCGGGCAGGGTTCCCTGTGCGGGGCTCCGGTGTGGCTGGAAATGTGAGGAGGAGCCCCTAAACCCCTAGCGTCCTCCGGAGTGAAGGACCCATCCTAGAACTCCCCCCAGGCCCCTGGGCCGCTCCGTGGGGGACTCTGGGCTTCCCAACCTGGCCATCCCCAGGGGGCGCACAAAGGCCCCCTCCTGGAGAGGATCAGGCAGGGAAGGCTACGGAGTTGTCACGCGTTCGGGAGGGCAGGACCTCGAGGAGGCAGGACCGGACCAGGTGGCCCTGAGGGACGATGGAGCTCCAGACACCTCACCTGAGCGTAGGAGTAGATGCGCACCCTGGCTCAGTGAAGCCCAGGTGTGCGCTTGAACCCAAGGTTCCCGTCCAGTACCTCCCCGCCAACCCCCCTTTCAGGGCCCCAACGTGGGGAGAGTTCCCCCTGCCCACCCTCCCTTGGTCCCTTTGGAGGCTCCCCTAGGTTTCGCTTCCAGATTAGGAGCCCCTGAGCACCTTCTGCGTCACTTACTGGCTGCGCGAGTCTGGGCCACAGGCCTTGGCTCCAGCTTCGGAGGGTGGCTGTGAGTTTACGGCGGGTCACACGAGAAGCGGGTGCTCAGGAAATGGCGAAGAAGAAATCGCTGGGACGCGGAAGCCCTTGGGCCCACTGTTGACCTCTCCCCGCCTCGACCCTGAGGGAGGAGCGGAGCCCAGGCCAAGACTCTGGCCTGGGCTCTCCGGCCCCACCCCCACACCAGCGCCACTCCTCTGCCACAGCCGACTGGGCTGGGCGTGAGCTCCTGACCTGAGAGCGGCCATCGGGTCCTCTCTTCTAAGGCTGAACTAAGAAGACCAGGCCGGGTCTGACAGTCTTTCTCTGAGGGAATGACCCTTCTCTCTCTTTGCACAAACTCTGATGGAGCTGACTCCATCCTTGACGCTCTGGGGGTGGCCCGGTGGCTTAGCCTGACCGGTCAGAGCACTGCTCTCCCCTGGCCCTAGAGATGGACCAGTGAGACCTGATCGGACTTCCTCGGCTTTTAAAATAAGGACGCTCAAAATGACCCCAGCCCACAAGAGAGAGACAGACACCTGGTCTGGGGACATCATCTGGATCAAGCCATGCCTCTGCTTTTCAGCTGTCTGAGCAGAAAATTTTCCTTTTGGCCTCTTCCAGTCCTGATTAGGTTTCCTTCCAGATCCTAACTCAGTTCCGCTCCTTCCTTCAAGCAGAACAATAATATACAACATCCAGAGATGATGAGATTTTTCTATTATTTTTAATGCAGGCATGGCTGAACAGTGTAAGAGTGTTTCATTTTAGGGAAGTCTTTTTTTATATCTAGCTTGCAGCCATGGGCCTGCTACTCGAGACAGTTACTAAGATGGAAAGCAGCCAATCACCTTTCTAAGAAGCCTCGTTGACACACTTCCCTCCCTTTTCAGGACCAGATGTACCGCAACATGATTTTTCAACGTCGTCTTTGCCAAATAGCCAGAGCTTGAAGATAACGTCTATGAAAGTAGAAAAGGAGGATGTAATGCATATCAATTAACTTTTAAAGAGAAAAATACCCTGCTTGGAATGAGCATTAGTGAATTGGAGTATAAAGCCGAATCGTCATACAAGCCAACCTTTTTAACCATCTCCCAGCCTGCAGTCCAGGGAGGAGAAGTCAAAACTGAGAGTCTGTGGTCAAGAACCACAAACCGGCCTGGCCAGGCAGCTCGGCGGTTGGAGCGCCATCCCCATACGCCAGGGCTGCGGGTGTGCTCTTTGGTGAGAGGACAGAGCAGGATCAACCAGTGAACGAATAAACAAGAGGAACAACAAATTGATGTCTCTCTCTCTCTCTCAAATCAATAAAATAAAAATAAGAATTCTCAGGCCATACTTTCCACTTTGTTCCCTGACGGTCAGTCACCATCCAGGGAAGGACCTGGCCAGGCCCCCAGACTCTGAGTGACAGGACGAATCAGAATCAACCGGGAAACAGGATAAGCTGATAAAAATTTTCTCCTGCATACCCTGAAATATGCAGTATCTTAGATCTGAAACAGTGCCACAAAATTCCAGCATCAGATCCATACTTTTTAAATTATAGATACATAAACACAGGTAGAAATATTGGAAAGTAATGCATTAGTGAAAAAGTACTAGTGAATGTATGGGACTATACATGATTTTTTCTTATCTTTCTATGTCCCGAATATTCTTTTTTTTTAATATTTTACTTATTTATTTTTAGAGAGAGAGAGAGAAAGACAGGGAGAGAAATATCAGTGTGTGGTTGCCTCTCATGTGCCCCCTACTGGGGACCTGGCCCGAAACCCAGGCATGTGCCCTGACTGGGAACTGAACCAGCAACCCTTTGGTTCACAGACCAGCGCTCAGTCCACTGGGTCATACCAGCCAGGGTTCTATGTCCCAAATATTCTTTAATGAGGATATAATATCTTTACTATAAAAGAGGACTTTTTTTTTTTATTTTTAAGAAAGCCAAGAGAGGTTGACCAGGAGAAATGTAAACTAGGCAATCCTGGAAATCAGTTAGGCAGTACATAGTAAGAACCAGAAAGCCATGGCTTCTGACATGTTCTGGGGAGCCTAATGCTAGACAGCCACGCCTCCGCCACGCCCCCGGGGCCAGCCGGCAGATTCAGGAAGAGGTCTAGCAGCCCAGAGTGGAATGCAGCCTGGTTTGCAGCTTGAGCAAATTGAAGCACATTCCCTCTGTGGATTCATAGCCTTGAGCAAAGGTTACGAAGACTTCCTGTGGGGTAATATTTCTGTAACAGTGCTAATCGAGGGCAATCATATATTCAGTATTAACACTTGCACTACAAACTACGGGAGAGAGAGTAATGGCCTCCCATCAGTGTCTACGTCTTCATCGCCCCAACCTGTAAATGTACGCCGCCTCCTCGCATGTCCAAAGCAGCTTAACAGATGGGGTCAGGTTGAGGGTCCTCAGATGGAGAAATTAACTGGGCTGTCCGAGTGGGCCCAATGGAATTACAAGGGTCTTTTTTTTGAGACTTTATTTATTTATGTTTAGGGGAAGGAAGGGAAGAAGAGAGGGATAGAAACATCAATGTGTGAAAAATATATTGATCAGTTGCCTCTCTCACGCCCACAACTAGAGACCTCGCCCACAACCCAGGCATGTGCCCTGCCTAGGAATTGAACCAGTGACCCTTTGGTCCACAGGCTGGCACTCAGTCCACGGAGCCACACCAGTCAGGGCTAACTATGAGGGTCTTTACAAGAGAAAGAGAGTCAGAGTGACGGGAGGAGGGGCAGGAATGAGGGGGAGAGAGCAAGAGAGAGATTGGAAGGTGCTACCCCGCTGGCTTCGACGACGGAGGAGGAGGCTGCAGACCCCACCATGCAGGCAGTGTCTAGAGAGCGTGACAGGGTTCTCCCCTAAGAACCTCTCAAAGGCACCGGCCCGCGTGTTAGCCCAGGAAGGCTGACTTTGCGCTTCCGACCTCCAGAACAGTAAATCATAAATTTAAGTTGGCTCAAGCCGCTACGTCTGTGGCAGTTTGTTACAACAGCGACAGGGAACTAACGCCTGGGGAAGACACGCTGTAAACACCTTGTCCGAGTGGTGCCCTTGCTCAGGCTGTGGCCCCAAGACACCGTGGGTGACGGGCTTGAACAGCAGACGTTTGTTTGCTTCTCACGGTTCTGGTGGCAGGAAGGCTGAGACCAGGGTCGGGTTCTCGGCGGGAACCCTCTTCCCGGCTGGGTCTTCACGCAGAGCGAGTCGTGCAGGCAGAGACGCAGCCCTGGTGTGGGCTGGGCTGTTCGGTCTGCCCATGTCACAAAACATGTCACTGCACCCAAAGCCGGGTCTGGCCTCTGCCCTCGGCTTCTGAAACATAATCTCTAAGCCCTTGCAACGTCATGTCAGGTGGGAGTATCTTTGTTTAAGGTGAGGGTGGCCACACAGGATGACCTAACAATGCACTTTAGGGTGGGGTTCGAGTCACTGGAGCAGCTGGGCTCCGGAGGGACCAGAGGCTGCTGATGTCAGTTACAGGGAAGGATGACCACAGAGCCCAGCGCATCCCCGCACACCGAGGCTGGGGGGTCTCCCGGGGCTGGCACTGCTCCAGGGGTGCTGCCGTGCACGTTGCCGGAGTCCACACCGCCCGTGACTCCGCTGGGGGAGGACAGCCTCCTGTCCTGGGCACCCCGCCTCTCTTCTCCAGGCTGGTCTGAACCCGTAACCCTTCCCTGCGGTCGACAGCAGCAGCGACTACACTGGCCACGCTGAGCTCCTTAAATCCTAATATAATTAAGGGTGGGTGTGGAGACTCCCAAACTTGCAGTTCCTGTCAGCAGGGGAGCGGCCTGGTGGAGTGCACACCCTCTAGTGCGGCACCACCCCGAAGCCGCACCCATGTGTGCACACACACACACACACAGAGTCTTGTACAAGGAGGACTGTCTTCTCCTGATTCCTCCGGGCTGACCGAGGCCGGCTGGCAGACTGGGAGGCGGCTGTCCTGGCTGAGGCCACCCTGCCCTCTAGATCTTACTCCCCAAAGGCCCCTTCCAGGAGCTGGAGCGCAGCTGCTTCCTCACTGCACCCGCCTGTGTGCCGCCTCCTCCTGGAGGGTGCAGGGAGGACTTTCTTTCTGACCGGGCAGGGACAGGTAGACAACCAATCAGCCGCCAAGCTGGCTGCAGAGCCTAAGAGGCCCTGTCATTGTCCCCCCCCCCAACACCCTACCTCCCCACGACCTACTCTGATACTCTGATCTTCTCTGATCATCGAAGGAGGAGAGACTGGGGCAGGAAGAGCTGACCCCCAGGGTTTTCTCTGGGAAAGGCCTAACTGCCCTAAAACTTGTGAGGCCCCTCCTTCCCCTAATGCCCTCCACATCCCCCAGCCACCCAGGACAGGCCTGTGGAGTCACAGACACAGCCCTCCCTCCCTCCGGGGGCAGAGCAGCCCAAGGCAGCAGCGGCCTCAGATGCCTCTCCAGCCCAGAAGTTTCAGGTTAAAATCTAAACTTAGCAGCCCTGTGGCCTGGGGTTACAAAACAAGTTCTTCCATGACTCTTATGTAAGATGATTAGTCCCTTTGCCCCTCCCTCCCCCTCCCCAGTTTCTCCTCACCCCGGGGTGGGGGCAGGGCGAAATGCAGGTTCTCCTAAACTGTGCTGAAGCACCCCCCACATCAGAGTTCCCATCCACCTCTTCTCTCCCTAAGCCCAAGCCCGAGCCTCACAATCCACACACAGTAGGTCTGTAGGAGGACAGAACCCAGCTTTGCCTCTCCCAGCCTGGTGCTGAAGCAGATCCTGCTCCACCACAGGGGGCTGCACCATTTGACCTCTCTCTGACCTTGAACATCAGGCTTCCCAAAAAATAAGAAAATACACCTTATTCTCCAGGGATCTTGGAACAGGCTGGCTGTTTTCAAAGGCTGCTGGGGGAAATAAATAACTAGAGCTCCAGATCTTCAGAGACACGTGGTCCAATGGGAAACCAGCCCAAGAAAACCAGACATAGACACGAGAAAGGACGGACGATGTTCCTCAGAACGGGGTGCACTGGGGAATGCGCCAGGGACTGGAGGGCCTTGTGGTGGTGGGTCTTGCTATTCAAGGTTCCCCGTTCACATTTCTGGGGTGAGGCCAGCACCTGCGATGTTCACAAGCAGCCGGCTCGGCTGGGAAGAATGCTGTGACCTTACAGAGCCTCGCAGAAGAAACGCAGGGTGTGGCTGCTCTGAACGCCAGCTCCCTGGGGTGGGGGTGGGAGCAGGACATCTTTATTCACACCCCTCCGCTCTCCTCCGAGATCCTGCATCTGCTGCTGTGAAGAGAGAGGCTCTACAGGAAGGTGTGGCGACCTGCCCTCCATCCTCTCCCTCCCACTCAGAGCCTGTTCACTTGACCGTATTCACTGCGGGTCTCTGCTGTCCAGCCGCTGCACTTAGAAGTGAGGACGCAGCCCTGGCCGGTGTGGCCCAGCTGGCCAGAGGATCGTTCTGCGGACTCAAGGGTCGTGGGATCAGTTCCCGGTTGGGCCACACGCCTAGGTTGCCGGTTCAGTCCCAGGTGGGGGCGCAGACAGGAGGCAACGGATCAATGTTTCTCTCCCCCCCACCCACCCCTCTCTCTGGAATCACGGGCACATCCTCAAGTGAGGGTTGGAAGTGGGGCTGCAGTGCAGCGGTGGGTGGAAACGGATGCTGTCCCTCCCCGGGGCAGGCAGGCTTTGCTCAAAGCATCATACAAATAAACATGTAATGACGACCTTTGACAGATGTTACGGAAATAACTTTCATAGAAACATTCACTCATTCAACACGTATGTACTGACCTCCCACCACAGGCCAGACACTCTCCTGGGTGTCGGGGACTCAGCAGTGGACTGAGAAGATGGTCCCTTCCCTCTCATCACTCGCTGTATCCCAGGCAAGACTATCAGTCAACACGTAAACATGAACGGCAATGCCAAGTGCCAGTGGGTGTCCTGCAGAAAATTAAGGCAGGGTGGAGGTAGAGACGAATAGGACAGTCAGAGAAGGCAACTCCAAGGAGGTGACTTTTGAACAGAAACAAATGATGTGGATGAAATGAGTGAGTGGATTTTTAAAAGACTTTTCTTTTTCTTTTTTTTTTAAGAGAGATGAAGGCAATGAGAGAGAAAAACACTGATCTGGGCCCTGACCAGGACCAAACCCACAACCTAGGTATGTGCCCTGACTGGGAATGGAACTGGCAACCTTTCAACGCAAAGGACAACACTCCAACAGACTGAGCCACACCAGCCACGGCTGTGAGTGGATGTTTAGTGGAAGGCCTGACCTGAG